TGCATTCTCCTTACTGGATCCTGCACTGTCATTTCTTCTGCAGCATTTCTGACCATTAACAAAGATGCCAGCTCTGGATTAGAAACTTCCTCATTAAAGGCAATGCCTCCTTCCAAGCACAAGAGTTCCAGAGCCTCTCTGTCCAGATTTTCATACTGTAGCTCACACATTGCAGCTGCTCTTTACCCAACCAACTTCTCAGTAGCAAAAATCAAATTTAGACAGCGTGGGATCCTGATCCCAAAGCTCAATTGACCAAGATCTGTGGACCCTGCCGACTACGCCACTGTGACAGTCTGGGCCGGTCTGGGCACAGCTGAGGGTGTCCACTCAGGGTGAATTGCTCAAATCTGGGGCTCCTTACAGTCCCCAGACTGGTGACCTCTCCGAACAGGCCACAAACCATGTCCCACAAAGCGCTTCAGCTGCCTGCCTGAAGCCTCATGAGCAAAACCTCTCCAACACCCCAGCAATATCCGTGCCCCAGATGGCCCCGGGCCTCATACACCGGTGGGGGGTCTTAGCACCCAATCCCACCTACCCCGAACAAGTTCTGTCCGGTTCCAAGAAACCAGCAACAGATCCCTGGTCAATTTACCCTTTGGACCTTACCCACAAATCACGCTGGGCCAATCCTTTAGCATCTAACAACTAGAGGTTTATTACCACAAGAAAGAAAAGCAGGAGAGTGAGGTTGCTAAAGTATCATACATTACATGCATCAAATCTCCCAGTTCTCGATGCAGGCTCTAGCAGAGATGTTACAGCTGCTGGCTTAAGAGTCCTTGTTGCACATCCTAGGATCAGGATGGGTCCTCAGTTCTTTCCGGCTCTTTGATCCCTGCATTGCTGCCTCTGGGATGAAGTGCTGAGCTGAGAACCAAAATGGAGTCCACCACATGGCCTCTTTATACATCCTTCCTGGTCTCTTCTTGGCTGCAGCAGGTCACCTGGCCAGCGGCCTATCCCTGCTGGCAGCTCTCAGGTGTCTGCCCTCATGCTTTAGGTGTGTCCTTGGCCCATCGAATGCCATTGTCCCACAGGGCCCCGCTAATTAGCATGTCCATAGGCCGGGCTCTGCCCAATGCTCAACCACATTCAGAGAAATATTCAGTATCCACACAGACTACAGATTCCTACCTACACACACAGACATTATACACTCACATAAATAGCGTACACAGGATCAGCAGACTGTAAGCTCCTATTCAACACCCCACATGGCCCCCCTTTTATACCATTTTGGGGGCCAGCACCCTCACCTATGGGTGCAGCCATGATCTGGCTGATTCCCTCAAATTCCAGTAACGTGACAGCTTGGTCAGGCTCTGGGCTGCGAAGGCCCCAGGCTGGGAGACTGCCAGCTGCGCATGGCCCGGGTTTTCGGAACGGATGCTGGGGATTCCTGGGTGGAGCCCCTCCGTCTGGGGCAGGGATGCATGTGGGGCTCGTGGCATCCAGACAACCTGTCTCGCCTCCCAGCTGGGTTTGGGAGAAATGTGCCCCAGCCTGAGCGCCGGGTGGAATTCCACCCCGAAACCCAGGGCCTTCCCTTTGGCTACGAATGCGACCCTGCCTGATGGCTCTGCCAGCGCAGCTCGGCGGCGGGCCGCCCCCCGGTCAAAAGGGGGGGTCGGTTGCTGCCGGAGAGCCCGTGGCTGGAGGTGCGACGGAGGCCCTGTGCAGGCATCGATAGGCTTGTCCTGCTGCGTGTGTTTAAACGCCAAGCATGGCTGGACCGGGGCATGCAGAGACGGGAGATGACGTGTCTCCTCTGAGGACCAGACGGCTGCTTGCTGACCATAGCTCTCGCTAGCCAGTGACAGGACAGTCTCCGGGGCTTGGTAGGTAACCAGGCTGGGTCCGTTTCCCGCCTCCCTGGCTTGTGCTCAGCACCACTAAAGACACTCAGACAGCCACCTGGCTAGTCTGCGCCCGTCTGCCCTGGTCACGCCGCCTCCTGCAGCTTCCACTCACTCCTGCCAGCGTTTCTCACGTTTCCGCCCCTCGGAGAATCTCTGCCGTGCGCCCCCGCTCAGTGCGCTGTGCCATCTGCTATTGGCCAGTTTCCCGCCTCCCTGGCTTGTGCTCAGCACCACTAAAGACACTCAGACAGCCACCTGGCTAGTCTGCGCCCGTCTGCCCTGGTCACGCCGCCTCCTGCAGCTTCCACTCACTCCTGCCAGCGTTTCTCACGTTTCCGCCCCTCGGAGAATCTCTGCCGTGCGCCCCCGCTCAGTGCGCTGTGCCATCTGCTATTGGCCATTGTTCGCGCAGCCACGGCCACGTGGGACGGTGCCATAAATGTCCACGCCTGAGAATGGAAACTGGCGCGTTGTGCAGCCGGCAGCCCGAGGAGCAGCAGTAACAAGAGAGGCCGGATTCTGCCAGAGGCCGTGCTAGTCCGGCTCCGCAGGGACCCGTCTGCTGTTCAGTGTATCTGCGTTGACAGAGCCCTGCAGATTCTTTTCCAAGACGTTTTTGCTTCATCTATTCCAGTTTCTCTCCTCAAATAGACTGTGCGGCCCTTGCGAGTGGGATCCCTGCAGCCTTCCTCCTCCTTGTCCTTCTCCGCACGCCCAGGCCCTGCCTCAGGCTGCGTTTCTCAGTGGCGGGGGTTGCTGCCTGAGAGAGGAACAAACCCCAAGGCATGTGCTGGATGGGGGAAGCATTTGTGTCCTGGTCAGTGGCAGGCAGATCATCCCTGGGACTTGTTCCATACTCTGGGGCCAAATCCGGCGGAGTTTAGAGAGACCGGCAGTGCTGAGCAATTCGACTCTGCGTTGGTCTCTTCTCAGGCTTCCCTATTTCAAACAATGTTTAATTGTTTAGTTCCCGGAAACGTGAAATCACTTGACTCGGTCATTTCTCTCTCTCGCTTGCTGCAGCCCCCGTTTGTCTTTGGGCGTTCTCCCGTTCTTGATTCTGCAGCGTTTTCCTGGGGACTTGGCATGGGATGGCTGAAGGGGCATGTGCACCTGGGCACAGCCCTGACGACCTTTCTCGGCTTTCCTGTAGATAAGCTGGTTCCTCGAGTGCATGGGGTTTGGTCTCAGCAGGGGCTCCGGGGCAGGCTGCACGTGGGAGTTGCCATGGAGGGCAAGCTGGAGGTGGTGGGGATGCTGGCAATTCTCAGGGGACGATGAGCACAGAAACTGTTTTAGCCTGGTGGGACCTGGCCCAGAGCCATGCTCCAGATTTCCCAGATACCCTCCTTAGCACACCGGCCCTCCCCACGTTACTAACACCCCTTCCCAGCATCCTCACAACAGCTCAGTGGCAGCCTCAGCCAGGGGCGGGCAAGAGGAGCGGGCGGTGCTGAGGAGAGCAAGTGCTGGCTGAAGGAGCAACCAGTGGTGGGAGGGATGCTGGGGTCAATGAGCAATCTGATTGGCTCTCCTCCACTTCCCAGCTCGCAGCCCCACTAGTGGGAGGGGGCGGCTGGCGGCCCTCAGGGCAGGGGGGGGAGCCAGTCTGGTGCTGAGGAAACGGGTCCTGTCGTGTACTGCGCAGCTGCAGCCCATGCAAGGCCAGGATGGGAGGGGCCCGCCCAGGGATACTGATTTCAAAAGAGGGAACCATGGGAACGGCCCCACGGAGACCGGTTTGGGCCCCACGTGCGTGTAAAACAGGAGACACTCTTGTTAAAAAACGAGGGTCTTTTTCTCAGTCCGAGAGTTGCCGTGCGCGGGCGGCTCACAAGCTGTACCCCATTTCCATGTGGCTTTGCTGTGGCACGGGGGGGCCACGCTGAGCCGGTGAGACATGTGCGCTCCCTCTCTGGGAAAGCTGGTGCGTGGTGTCGGTTGTTGTACGGTGGGGCCGGTGCGTGCTTGCCCTCGTGAGGTGGTTGGAATCTCATCTCCTCGTGGCTGCTAGTTCGTGGACAAGCTGCCACTTGCCTGCCTCATGCGTCTGGGGTTCCTGCTTGCTGCCAGGTCCACCTGCTTCCCAAAGCCCTCTCTGCCTTCCCACCTGTTGTCTCTGCCTCCAGCGCCCCCCAGCACTGCCGGTGTCGGACCCCCGCGCGCCCTCCCTTGGGCCAGGGCAGTGTCCCCCGCACATGGAAATGGCATCACGGGACTGGCTGACCTAGAGGGCTTCTCCACTCTGAGCTCTGTGCTGCTGTCAGGCCACCATGGGGACGATGGGAGGGGCGTGGTCCCGGTCTCCTGCCTGCACACGCAGCGAAATCTCCGGGGGGCCTGAGCTGGAGGGAAATGGCTACTGCTTCAGTCTTCTGAGCTGTGCAGCTCTCCGACGCAGCACAAAATGGATTCCAGGCATCCGCCCTCCCCAAGGGCCCGTCTGCAGGGCCAGGGAGAGGCGTCGACCACAAGGGATACGCCGGGTCTGAAGTACTTACCTATTTCAGCTCACGCCCACCTTTTGCCTCCTGCGGGGAGGGCTGTAAAACAGACTCCTCTGGGAGCTACCCCTGACTTGGCAGCTGGACTGTTTCCCTGTCGACCGTGCAGTGCCCGAGTCGCACGGGGAACCTCCAGCGGGTGAGGAAAGGAACGGCCACTGAGCGGATGTTTTGTAGCTAGCCCGGGGGCTCTCAGGGCTTTGTAACTATCAGAATGGCCTGGCCACATGGCCGCCGTTCTCAGATATTTCACCTCTTGGGCAGCAGCCTCAGCCCCGCTGAGCTGGAATTCCTTTGCTCAGACGCCCTTCCGCCCGCATGGACGGCTCCTGGTTCTGCCAGGGCTGCTGGTGCTGTGCGTGGGCCGGTAGGCTCCAGGGAGATCAGCCCGGACACAGAGCCAACGTGGGCTTGCTGCTGGTATGTACCTCAGACCCTGGCCAGGCACTTCTGCTACCGATTCAGGCTTTACGGTGTCTATCCAGGCCAAGTCCTTGCGTCAGTGTCATGTCGCACCATGGCGTCCTGCTTTGGGCTTTTCATTATCATTTGGTTCTTGATTTTTTTGCTGTGACTTGTTGTGCTCTATAACAATAACCTTCTTAGTTCTAATGTCCCTCCTACCCCTCAGCAGTTGACCAAGCTCCACCAGTTGGCTATGCAGCAAACCCCCTTTACTCCCCTCGGACAGACCACCCCCGCTTTCCCTGGTACGTACCCGGATGCCCTTTACACATTTCCTTCTCTTCTTACCTGTAGAGTTTCTCTCTCTTTCAAAGCGGGTTTTATTTAATGGAAATAAATAGGCCGAGTAAAGTGACGTTGCAAATGTCCATGGTGAAACGCTACCAGACGATGATGTTTCAAAGTGATTTTCCTTATGGCTCAGTTGACTGTAATTGTGGTGGTTCGGTCTGCTCCCGGAGCTCCCTGGCCTCCCGGCCCAGAGGAGTGGGCATTCACTGCCATGGGATGGGATGTCCTTCGGGAGACGTCCAGGTACTCGGACAGGGCTTCCTCTGCGGCGCATTGTCTGCAGATGCCACACTCGGGAAAGGCCAGGAAATTCCTTTCAGTGCTTCCTGCCCGTCGCTGTCCGGGACGTTCTCCTCATCCGCACAACATGGCAGTAGAACGTCAGCAGAAATGTCCTCGATGAGCAGCCCTCTTGTTTGGTGCTCCATGAGCAGTGGTGGGAATTAGCCATGGGTCTAGGGGGAGCCGTGGGTCTAGGGGGGAACCCTGCCTGGGTGAAGGAGCCCTTTGAAGCACCATGTGACGCTGGAAGACCCCCAGAACTCAAGCTAGGATGACTGTCTCAGACCCTACTAGCGACATTGCTAGTGCCTGTTCCATTTGTCATTGTGCAGCTACAGAGTAGGCACGCAGAATACTTAAAATACCTTCCTATCACGCGATGGGAATGCCTTTTCTGCCATTTTGTCCATCATATTTTGAGCTTCCTAGCTGAAGTGACATTGCTTATCTCCTCAAAGGCAAAAGCATTAAATCTGTTTCTTCTTTGCTCTTCAGGAGAAAAGCTGCCCTTACATTCCTCCGAAGAAGCTCAAAATCTGATGGGCCAGTCATCAGGTAAAATCCAAGCTATAGGGAAACAGTAGGCCTCGGGTGCAGTATTTCTTGGCTAAGACCCTGTCGGTGTTGTAATCGTACATACGTTGTCTTCCTGTGTTGACAAGACAGTCTGACTTGTCCTACTCATGGAGCCATTTGCATGGGACAGTATACTCAGCGAGGAGAATGACTTGGCCCATACTGAACTGTACTTCAGTAGTCTGTTAATACAGTCTCTGGGCACGTGTGTAGAAGAGCCAAAACCACAGGATTGTGACCTGTGTTGTTGTTGTATGTGGTTTTTATAAAGTTCTCCATGAGATAGCAGGAGAGCAACCATGGGAGACGAGAGAGAATATTGCTCAGTTAGTGTGAAGCTAGGCAATACATTACTGTGTCTGGATAGAGCTGTCTTTTTTTGATAAATTCCTATTTCAGTTTTTCTATGCTGATAATTGGCTAAGAAGCCAACACACGCCGGTATGGATTTTCTTTACAAAAAGGTACTTAGCTCAAAGGCAGGCAAAACGCTGGAAGAAATGAACTGCTTTAAAATAGTTTTGACATTCACGTCACTCAAAATACCTCTAATTTAAATACACGGTTGGGAAATGATCATTTCGTAATGCGGAGCAGTACTAGTAAGTTCATGCATTTTCTGATGAAGCATGTTGCATTCTTCATGCTGTTGAAATGGATGCTGATTGGTAATGATGGGAGCTACTTTTTGTGAAAGCCGTCTGGGCCTGTTTTATGGGTTAGAGCCTCAGCCCAGTTCATCAGCTTAGCTCCCATGAAGCCAGTGGAGGCAGGTCTATGTATGTGGCCCTGTGTTTAGAGGGACACAGAGATACATACGTAAATGTGCCCTGGTGACGTCCCAAACCTACACCAGGCGCACGGCAAAATAGTCCGATGGCCTCTCCCAGGCCAAAAGGTAACGTTACATGGATTCTGAACGACTTTGCCCCACAAAGCAGAGTGATGAGACACAAACTCCTTTTCTGGTTGAGTATTTGTGTAGTAACGGACCCATTCGGACTGTTGTGAAAGCCATGGGATTTCCATGGCCATCGCGGAGGAGGGCCTGTGTCTGGTAACTGAAGAGGGTTCCTATGCTGATCAGTAGCAGTACGAACATGTCTCCTGCGGGATTCCAGGCTGTTCCTAAATGGAGCCGCACAGCGTAGGGGAGAGCCACAGGCAAGGCCACATGCTCGGGGACTTTCCATTGCTGCTGTGTGGCACACTCCAAGGGGCAAGTGGCGGGGACCACCCCCACTCCAGCGCATGGGACGTGCTGGGGCACCCTAACTCCAGCCCCTGCTGGCCTTTGCTGGTCAGCGTGGGAGAGGCTGTAGAGATGGGTGCACCGAGGTGAGTGAGGAGTAGGTTCAAGAGGGGCATAGTGCAGAGGGATCCATGGGACCCGGAGGGTCAAGCGGCGCTGAAGGGAAGAGGGAATGGGGGAGAGGAGGGACTCTGTCCCCACTCACGCAGGGGCTCCAGACCCATTTGCAGAGCTCTGTGTGGCTACAAAACCTGTATCTGCATCCGCAAGCATGAGCTGGGGCTGTCCACGCTTATACCTGCAGCCGCAGAGACCCGTGGCTAGACGGGGCGTCTGCCAACGCACAGAGCTCTAGACCCAGAATTGGTAGTACGAGCTGGGGCTGTCCACGCTGACACCCACGGCCACAGAGACCCGTGGCTAGATGGGGCATCTGCCAACGCACAGAGCTCTAGACCCAGAATTGGTAGCACGAGCTGGGGCTGTCCGTGCTGACACCCGCGGGTTTGCAGGGCTCCGCCCGTGAGGGTCCGGGGCAGTGCGAGGACCTGCTGCTACTTCGCCGCTGTGACTGCCCTCCCCACAAGCGCTGCGGCCGGGCTGGTTTTGCGAGCAGCCGGGGAGCGTCAGTGCCCTGTGGAGCGACGCCCAAGACGCTGCTCTGTGTGGGTGAGCCCTTTGCCCTGGAAGTCGGGCGGGTCGCGGAGCCTTGGCGGTTAGGAGTCCTGCTGATCTGTAAAGTCTCGCTCTTACGCCACC